AACACTTGAAGTACTTTTTATACATGTGCAAATATTATCTTCTTCTGAGGATAAAAACATTTCACGCACACACACGAAAACAGTTAAGTTGAAATGTTTTAAGCTACACGAGAAGTTCTGTTTGCTTTGACCCCAGATGATCAATACAGATAGGATTAGATGCCTGGAAGGGGTGGGGCGACACCACAACAACCTCCACACAGTCACCTGGAACCGGAGGGCTCCTGCCACACTGCATGGTGAAAACTATCCCATCCAAAACACTGCACGACTGTAGCCAGGTCCCTCATGGGGCCAACAGGGAAGCAAGCCTAGGGAGCAAGGCTGTGACCTGCTGGTCCAGGGGTGAGGAAAGGAAACTGTGGAGGCTCCTGCCCTGCCCAGAGCTCCCAAGGGCCACCACCTTCCTCTGCATCCAGGACAGGGTTGCAGCAGCCAGTGGCCTGGCTGGGTTCACTAGCAGGAGGCGTCTCCTAATTACAGAATGGTCTGCCCTCCCGGGGGTGTCGTGGCAGCAACAGTATTATGCAGGGAGGTGACAAAATGCTAACGTGATCACAGGCACACTGTGTCACTCCTCTGGGCCTCAATTTCTTCATCTGTTAAATGGAGCTTTTGTTATCCAGCCAGGAAACCGGAAGGACTACTCTGCTGTGACAAGTTTTCTACTTTATTTTCCATAGGTTTGGGGGTGCCTACAAGTGACCCCTTGACAAAGCCTGCTTGCTCACAGGCTTCCCATTATCTTCAGCTCCACAGTGTTGTCTTCTTTGCCTCTCTTCTCCCCACATCACCCCAAACTGCAAACACAGTCTTCTGTGCTTGCGTCCTGCTCTGTACCCTCACTCCTACATGATTCTCACAGGCTGAGAACAATGGCTGTTTCTCTCGTCAAACCCTCTCTTCCTCTGAAAAGGCCGTCTTGCCTACTATACTAACACTGAAAGGAAGGAGGACTTCCATATTGCCCGCCCCCCTCACTCCGTGCCAGAGACTGACTAGAAGCTGAGCCAATCAGAGCCTTTCACCAGCATTACTGACCTCGGGACCTCCAATGGTTTCTAGTTTATCTTGCAGGTGATGGTGGGAAATGTCGAACTAGATCTTGTCAGAACCTTTCAAGATTGGGGTTCCCTACAAAGGCAGAGGCCGGGGAGGCCTAGCAGTGCTATGTGAGGTGCCTAGCTGCCTCTTTTTCCCCGATTTGGTCCTAACAGACAAGCATCGGCCATCTGACTTCACACACAGGAGAGTCTATGAGAGGGGAGTGGTTTGCATGGCAGCTCTGCAGCCAGACGCTTTGATTGGAACCCTCGCTGCCCTTCTTGCTAGCTGTGTGAAACTGGGTAAGAGAACTAACCTCTCTAGGCTACACAGTCCTCCTCTGTAAAATGCAGTCGGTGGCCTTGGAGGATGAGGTGAGCTCCCAGGTACTCAACACTGGCCCACAGTGCAGCAGTTACTGTGTCCCTGATTGCAATTCAGCTTTTTGTACTTTGTTAGTTACTCATGGTCAGCCCAAAACATTATCAGCCTTGTTCGGAGGGAGGGAGGGAGGGAGGGAGGGAGGGAGGGAGGGAGGGAGGGAGGGAGGGAGGGAGGGGAAGGGACCATGTGCTGGCTAGTTTTCTGTCAACTTGACACAAGCTAGAGTTATCTGAAAGGAGGGAACCTCAATTGAGAAAAATGCCTGTAGTCAGAAGTTTCCTGTGTCCCGCCTGGCTTGCGGTCGGGACAAATCTCTCACCCACAGTCCTGCAGCCTTTATAAAATAATCACACAGAGGCTTAATATTTATAACTGCTTGGCCATTAGCTCAGGCTTAATACTGACTAGCTCTTACACTTAAATTAACCCATAACTCTTATTTATGTTTAGCCACGTGGCTTGGTACCTTTTCTCAGTTCTGCCTTCACAACGTGCTTCCTCTGTGTCTGGCTGGCGACTCCTGACTCTGCTCTTCCTCTTCCCAGCATTCCTTTAGTCTGCTCACCCCGCCTATACATCCTGCCTGGCTACTGGTCAATCAGCATTTTATTAAACCAGTGTGCAAACACATTATCCCACAGCAAATGCCTCCATAACAGAGGCATTTGGGGAGGCAGAGGCAGGTGGGTCTCTGAGTTTGAGGCCAGTCTGGTCACATTTCCTGCATTGGTGATTGACTGGGGAGGGTCCAGTCCACCGTAGATGAGGCCACCTCTGGGCTGGTGGTCCTGGGTTCTATAAGAAAGTGGGCTGAGCAAGCCATGGGGAGCAAGCCTGTAAGCAGCACCCCTCCATGGTCTCTGCATCAGCTCCTGCCTCCAGGCTCCTGCCCTGTTTGAGTTCCTGCCCTGACTTCCTTCCATGATGGACAGTGCTGTGGAAGTGTAAGCCACATAAACCCTTTCCTCCCCAAGTTGCTTTGGTCCTGCTGTTTCATCATGGCATGTTAACCTGACTAAGACAGACTACACTCATGTAGCCTTTGTTACAATAATTCCGTGATAACCCCTGCTGCATCATTTCTTGTGGCTGATGTCCACTGTCTAATTCCTAAATGAAACTTGGCTGCAGGTGTGTGTACAGGAGAAACCTAGTCTACAGGAGGTTTGGTGCTATCTGGGGTTTTAAGTATCCCCTCAGGATCTTGGGTGTATTCTTACAGAAAAGTAGGGAGGGGATACTAGACGGTAAAGACCCAGGCCCCCCATCTGCTGGAGTAGGAGTCAGGGATGCTGGGTTGAGGTTAAGAAAGGGCTGAGAAGTAACTGGCTCCCGGCTGGGCCATTAGGCAGGTCTCCAATACAGCAGGGGGCCTTTCTGAGTCAAGACCCTTAAGAAACCAGACTGTTACCATTTTCCAACTACTCTAGGCTCAGGCTGGGCACCTGGACTGTTGGATAGTTAGCACTTCTGCCTGGCACTTGAAAGACCCTCGAAGTTGTAGGATTTGCCTCGTCTTCCCCAAGGGGCACCTGGGCGATGCATGCAGGGACTTGGAGAATGGAGACCCTTATCTCACAGCAGTTAGCAGGACAGCAGTCACATGTCTGCTGGCCTCTCAGCTGTGCGGGGCCAACAGGGTGGAATCTGCGTTAACTCACCCCCCAGTCCGCAAGGCAGCACTGAGTGTGGGAACCAGGCTCAAAAGGAGTAGGTGACCTGCCTCTTCCAGGACAATGCAGACCCTTTAGTTCCAGAGGCCACACCCTGCCAATATCCCAGTGTCCTAAGGCTGCCGATTTTCTCTCTGCACAAACACAATCCAACTGTCAGTCCAGAATGAGGCAGCTGGAGCCATGCCGGACTTGACAACAGAGAGAACCTCAGAGGAAAGAAACCCGAGACAGCCGCAAACACTCATCCCAAGGCAGGAGCAGGTGCCCAGCACCTGCCCAATGTGACAGTACTGTCACTTTACCCTTACAGCCACCATAACCCTTCCAGGAGGATCCACGTTTATACCCACACTGCTAATAAAAGCTGGGGTCTTAACGGCTAGTACTCATCTTCGGACCACACAACAGAAGTGGCAGCTCACCTGTTCTTCTCACACATGGCATGTGGTACAGGCGTCATCTCCTACACCCTTCCCTGGGAAAACGAACAGCCAAGCACTTCTCCAGGACACTTTGAGTTACACAAGGATATAAGGGTAGTGAGAGGGGCCCCAAAGAATTCCAAGTCTGGGCAGACCCTGGCTTGGTTCTTCCCAGCTGTGTGTCCCAGGGCTGGCCCTTGCCCTCTCTGAGCCCTCTGCCAAACGCTTCAGGGCACACTTCTGACTGACTGTGCCCTTCTGCCCCACCTTCATATTACCCCTGCAGTTCTCAGGGGGGCTCCATGGAACTGCTTCTTATATGTCCCTGAGACACTGAGGCGCCCCCTAGAGGAAGTACAAGGGCTGACACTTCTACTCTGGAAGAACAAGGTGGAGAGCGGGGAGAGGAGAATGAACTAGTCAGTCGTTACCAGGCAGTGGAGCTGAATGCTGTCATACGAGTCAGAAGCGGGGTGCCACCCCTACTGTGTGTGTTCTCTCCACCTGCGCCCTGAGTCCAGCAGCCGCTAAGACGCATGCACAAGCACCGACGGGCACCATGGGCCAACATGGTGGACATGACCAGGTAAAGAAGTTGGAGGAACTTCCAGGCTCTCTCACCTGACCCCTCCTGGGCTTGTGGACTGTGTGATAAGCATGTGCTGTCCATCAAATGGCAGAATTACAGGCATGTTACTTAATGGTGCTGAAGGGAAGACGGAAGGCACTCAGAGCCACGCCTCCCGGAGCAGGGTGTGCATGCGCAGCACGTGGTGTTTAGCTAAAAACTCAGGAGGAAGCCAGACGCAGTGGCGCACGCCTTTAGTCCCAGCACTCGGGAGACAGAGGCAGGTGGATTTCTGAGTTTGAGGCCAGCCTGGTCTACAAATCGAGTTCCAGGACATCCAGGGCTACACAGAGAAACCCTGTCTTGAAAAATGAAACAAACAAAAATCAATTCTGATACTCAGTTTACCTTCCATCACACTCATGGCTGTGTCCGTGGATTCGACCAATATGTATTGAAAATATTCAGGGGGAAACAGCAAGATGGCTGGGTGGGTAAAAGTGCTTAGATACAGGGTCCTTCCCATTTGAGTTTGTCAAACTGGAAGCTAGGGCCAAGCTCTGGCATCATGGGCTATTGTATATACCGCACGGTGCTGACCAGCACCCCACAAGGTTCAAGCAACACCTTCACCTCCGGTTGTCTCCATGCTGCCAAATGTTCCCTGGGCCTGGTTGAAAAGCACTAGAATAGCCTGTGACTTGAGGATGCGGGACACACACACACACACACACACACACACACACACACACACACACGACTGTTGGAACCTCGGAGGCTGTAGGGGTGGCTGTGGGAGTGAGGACCCCACACTCATGCAGCAAAGGCCAGACGGCACCACCAGTCAGGACACCTGCAGTCAGTCACCTCTTGCCTCTCAAGCCCTCACCCAGAAGCCCTTCTTACCCAGCCTGATGTCCCCCTCAAGGGTCATAAGCACATTGCCGGCTTTCAGATCGCGGTGGATGATCCTCTTGCCATGCAGGAAGTCGAGCGCCTCCAGCATCTGGCGGCATACGACCTGAATCTGGGGCTCGGTGAGGCCTCGGTCTAGCTCTGGAAAAGAGGAGCACTTTGTCACTGGGTAGCACTCACCAGGCCAGCACCAGGCCCTTTCTAGGTTGCCACCTGACCCTACACCGCCCAGCAGTGGGGAGCATCACCAGGAGTCTGTGGGCACAGAGACCAATCCTGTTCCCACAACACTGCCGTGGGGCCAACACCGCTGTTCTCCCTAGTGCACAGAAGTGGCCACCAAGGAGCAGAGTGGCTACTTGCTGAAGGTCACTTCACAGACCCAGTGCTTCAGAATTTAGGTTCACAAACAGCACACTGAGATGTAGAGCAGTGTGGCAGGACTCAGAGCACGCTGGTTCATTTTGCTGTGGTAATTGATACAGAAAGGGCTCACAGTTTTGGAGGTTAGAAGTCCCAACAGCATGACATCACCTAAGAGGTTCTTGTGCTGTGCCACATAGCAAGATAGCAAGTGTGCCAGCATGCCGCTAATGCCGCCATGGGGACGGCCTCACAACCGCATCTAACCCCAACGCCCTCCCGGAGGCCCATTCCAAACTCCATTTGTGGGTGAATCTGAGGGCTAAGCTTGCAGCACATGGGCTTTGGGGGTATGTTCAAGCCACAGCACAGAGTGGGTGCTTCTCAGGGGTCAGGGCTTAGTGTGGATGCAGAGTGATGCTTAGGACAGGGTGGGGATGGGCACAGACAGGCCAGGATACGCAGCAATTCCATCTGAACGAGTGGGAGCCCCAGAGGCAGAAGTGTTTGATAGTGGAACACAGGCAGCCCAGAAGAAGCAAAGCTTGGAGGCTGCTGTGGCTGGTGGGAGCATCAGGAAGTGTAGGAGGGGGCCAGAGCCAGGAGGTCAGTCACCAAGAGCCTCTGCATGCTGGCTGGGGACTCTCCCCACCACACAGTGTTTGTTGGAGACAGAGTCCTCCTCTGAGATTCAAGGATTAATAGACCAGAGCAGGTGGGGAACAGGATGAACATTCTAGAAAAGGGAATGGCTGCACCGAAGACACGGTATGGCATGAATATCGAGTCAGGCTATATGTCAGAGAAGGTGGCAGAGGCTGGAGGCCAGCAGGGCCTGATAGAATAGGACTGTGTGTCCTTTCTGTGATGGCTGCACGCTACTGGGTTCAATATGGAATCCGTAAGTGGGTCTGGGTAGCCAGGAAAGCAATTGGGTTTGCACTTAAAAATACCCCTCTAGGGGCTGGAGAGATGGTACACAAACGAAGGTCCAGCTTGGGAGTGGAAGCAGAACCATCAGAACTAGTTAAGAAGCCAGCACACCACACACACGCACACACCACACATACACACCACACACACACACACACACACACACACACACACACACACACACACACACACCACACACCACACACACCACATAAACACATACACACATACTCACACATACAGCCACACCCACATCCACCACAAACACACATCATACATACACACACACACCACACACAAACACACACACACACACCACATAAACACATACACACATACCCACACATACAGCCACAGCCACCACAAACACACACCATACACACACACACACACACACACACACACACACACACACACACACACACAAATAAACAGAGGTACTATTTCCAGATTTATAACCAGGCATGCAGAGACCAATCACAAAGCACTCCGGTTTGGGGTTTGGGGTAAGGCTTGATGCTGTCTCCCACAGGCTCACGTGCTGGTCTCTGGTGTGGGAGTGTGCAGTTGGTAGAGCCTTTATGAGGCAGGGCCTCAGTCAGGGTCATTAGGTCAAGGAAGCCCCACCATCAGAAGGAAAAAGCCTGGTCTCAGGTGGTACTTGCAGGAGCCAGATGTTATAAAAAGAACAAGGGGCTGGCCATGGTGGCACACACTTTAATCCCGATACTCCCCAGTCAGAGGCGAGAGGATCTCTGTGAGTTCAAAGTCAAGCTAGTCTATATAGTGAGTTCCAGGCCAGCCTGGGCTACATAGTGAGAGCCTATCTCAACAAACAAATAGACAGACAGACAGACGGATGAAACAAGGAGCTTCCCCCTTAAGCCCTCTGACTTCCTTCTCTCCATGTCATCTCTTTTGCATGTTCTCTCCCCATTGTGACCCTAGCCACCAAAAGGCCCTTAGAACCCCCCGACCCCTCCCACGGTGAACCTTCAGCTTCCGGAACAGAGCTTCCCAAACCCCTCTCCTCTATAGAACCCAGCCTCAGGCATTTTGCTGGAGCAGCAGGAACAAAACTAAGGTACAGTATTTTATTAGCATCGATATCAACCAGCCTTGCCAAGGACATCGAGACCTGATAGCCCCCTCCTGAGCACTTACAAAACAGGTGGGCACTGTAATGAATGTGCCCCTGAGAGCCTGAGGGCTGCTGGGAGATCACTGTCTCTCCCCTAACAAAGGGGCTAATGCTGTTGTCAGGGTAGGTTTGTTCTCGTGGAAGTGGGCTCCCGACGATGCCCTTCTGTTTCTCTCGCTCATACCCTTCCTTTTCTGCCTTCAGCTGGGTCGCTTGCCTTGCTTTTGGACTTCCCAGTCCCTGAAGCATGAGCCACATCAGTACCTGTTCTTGTTTGCTTGTTTGCTTGGTTGGTTTTTCGAGACAGGGTTTCTCTGTGTAGCCCTGGCTGTTCTAGAACTCACTCTTTAGACCAGGCTGGCCTCAAACTCACAGAGATCCGCCTGCCTCTGCCTCCCAAGTGCTGGGATTAAAGGCGTGCGCCGCCACTGCCCAGCAATATCTGTTCTTGATCACTCATCCAGCTGCAGGTGTTCTGTGGTAGCAGCAGTAACAGATTCAGACACTTGGGTGTCCCACTCAGCGCCATGTGGAAGGCATCATACATTCTCACAGTCAAGGAGGCTCAAAAAGGTAAGCAGCCGATATAAAGACACACAGCATCTTGAACAGGAAGTGCTCATCTTCCAGTGAAAGGCCAGCACTCTCTCCATACCCCGAAAAGGGGCAGGGAGCTAGAAGGGAGGAGGGACCAGTCAGAGCTGGCCAGGAGCACATACAGGGCTCAGGGCAAATCCTGCATTCCTAGCAGCTAAAGAAAGACTTACCCAGCATGATGGCATCCACAGCTCCCCCAGGGCAGAACTCAATCATGATCTGTAAGAAATACAAAACACAGCAATGAGCAGGGGCCCTGTGCCTTAGTGCCTGACCTACCCTACCCCGCTGCCTGGGACGTATCCATCTGTCCATCTCCTCCCTACCATCCCACCCTCACAGCAGTCTCTGATACCCAGAGAGGATGCCATGGGCACTTTATCTTTCCAGAAAAGAAAAACCAAGTTGCCACAAAACCCAAAGCTTCAGCAACAGCTTCAACAGCCAGGCCTAATGTCTTATTTACATGCCCCTATAGCCCGCCCAGACTCAACCCTGCTTCCTACACCATCCCATTTCCCATGCTCTGAGGCCAAGAGCCTTAGAGAACCTCCTTACCAAATCCAGGGTGGCCATAGCCTCACAGAATCTTGTGCCAAAGCCACCTACCAGAGCCCTGCTCTAGCTGACTCAGGCCATCAGAATATCAGGGCTTGGGGGCTGGGGGATCAGCTCAGATGTACAATTAGAGGCCCAGAAAGAAGTGTGTCCCACCAAGGCCATAAAGACCGGTGCCAGATCCTAGACTTGGACAGCAGGTTTTCTAACCCCCAGGACATTTGTCCACCCATCCACCCACCCATCCACCCACCCATCCACCCACCCACTCATCCATCCATCCATCCAGCACGCAGACCTAAATGCACACTTAACAGGTGGCAGGCCAGAGGAAACCCCCAGCAGCTAGTGAAGGACAGTGCACAGGTGATCCCTGCCTGAAGCACTCTAAGCAGATCTTTGTCATCTTCCCGAGTGGAGACACCACCATCATGGATACTCTATGGACACCTTCCAGCTCCAGTCCCAGGGATGCGACTTGGCAGGGAAAAAGCCAGGACCGTGGGCTGACAAGGAAGCTGGGTCCCTCTAAACAGGAAAGCTACATTCAGCCATGACCCAGGTGGTCCCCACCAGCTCTCCAAACAGAGGGAGGAGGCACTGCAGGACTATGATGGGTCCCAGTCTGACCTTCTAGAGCAATGCTTCTCAACCTTCCTAATGCTGTGATCTTTAACACAGTTCCTCATGCTGTGGTGACCCCCAACCACAAAATTACTTTCGTTGCTACTTCATAACTGTAATTTTGCTACTGTTATAAATTGTAATATAAATATCTGTGTTTTCCAATGGTCTTAGGTGACCCCTGTGAAAGGGTCATTTGACTTCCAAAGAGTTGCGACCCATAAGTTGGGAACTTGAGAACCACTGTTCTGGAGGCTTCCGGGTGATGTAAAGATGAGGATGGAATGAGAAAGGGCTTTGGTGACAGCCACAGCTCCTTAGGGTGCCTTCAACTCTCTGGACTCATCTCCTCAGCTCTAAAGGGGACTGCTGCGCTTCTTGCCCACAACTGTGGCCAACCACTGGGTTGTATGGCGGGATGAGCCAGGATGGGATATAGGGACCCACAGGCCAAATGAGGCCAGACTGCATCGAAGGGTGAGCAGTCCTAGAATGCCAAGTGGGGCTGTGAGCTGGGCCAGCAACGTGAGAGGTACCAGGTCTTAGGAGCAGCAGACAGTCGACCCCACCAGCCCCACCACGTGCCACAGAGAAAGGGCACTTGTCTGCTTGCACACCGCTGCCCACAGGAAGGGAGCATGCAGCTCCGAGACAGCTAGCTCACCCTGCCGGTCCATCAATGGCAAACTGACCTCTCTCATCTGACAATAATGGCTCGAGGAAGTGTTCATCTGCACATCCGGTATACCAGGGAAGGAGAACCACCACACTTGCCCATTCACTCACACTCACCCACTCACTCACCCACTCACTCACTCACCCACTTACCTAGTCAGTCAGTCAGTCACTCACCCACTCACTCACTCACCCACTTACCTAGTCAGTCAGTCAGTCACTCACCCACTCACTCATTCACTCACCCAGTCACTCACTCCCCCACCCACTCACTCCCCCACCCACTCACTCATTCACTCACCCACTCTCCTCCCAGGCATCAGAAAATTGCACAGCACCCTGTGAGTAACCTTTCCCAGCTCCACAAGAGACCCAGGGGCTCCTATCAACCACTGGGAAAATCATCCATAGAGCAGTGGTGGAAGACACAAGTCCTAGTCACCATGCAGGGACAGCAGGTGAGATGGTCAGGTGACTGGCACACCCCACCCTCCCAGGAACACCAAGTCGATCCCCCTGGTCAGGGCTCAGCCAATGTAAGCTGCTACCGTTACTCATCCATAGAACTTGGGATCTGTTTTATTCTATTTGTTTTCAGACATGGTCTCACTCTATACCTCTGGCTGACTTGGAACTCACTCTGGAGACCAGACTGGCCATGCACTCACAAAGATCCACCTGCCTCTGCCTCCCAAGTGCTGGGATTAAAGGTGTGTGCCACCAAGCCCAGCTGTGTTTGTTTTTGAGACTCCATGAAAGCTACATGTGACATATGTCAAGTTATCGCTTGACACATCACATTGGAAATCACATGGGAAAAGGGTCTCAGTGAGGGACTTCTAGATCAGGGGGCCTATGGGCATGTCCATGGAGGGCTGTCTTGATGGTGTTAACTAACGTGGGCAGCACCATCCCTGGGTTTGGCCCCTGCACTGTGGAAGAGTGGAGAAAAACGCTGAACACAGCATACGTGTGCTCACTCTGCTCTGCTCATGGCTTGGCTTTAACTTCCTACAGTGATGAAGTGTAAACTGGAATCACGAGCTGGAATAAACCCTTTCTCCTCTAAATTGCTTTGGTCAGGGTGTTTTAACAGCAGCAACAGGAAACAAAACCAGGACACCATCCTCTTCTTCTTACCCAGAAAACTCCAAACAGGGCAATGTCTGCCAGCAGTCAGGCCGACCCCCTGCGCCCCCGGAAGCTTCTGCAGGGCTTCTCGCCCCTCAAGCCACTGGAGGAACAGCCTCCAGCCACTTGCCAGCTCTCTGTAACACAGGCAACTACTGGCTTCTAGACCTTCTGCAAGGATTGAAGGAGTGCCGCTTGGGAACCAACAGACCCAGCCTGCCATGCTGTGCACAGTACCAGGGCCAGACAACCCCCTTCTCTGCCAGGAATCATCAAAAAAGAAAAGGTAAACCGTCCCTCCTGGTACTCCATTAAAGGACTGTGATCGGGAACCTCCCCAAGTCTCAGTTTCCTTATCTATCAAATGGCACTGAGCTCTGCCTCCAACGTCACCGGGACACTAAGCAATGCTTGGCTGGAAGGTCCAGCAGGAACACCACACTGCCGTTACACTTCTCTGGCCCCTCCAGCAAATCAGCAACTGCCCCTCGGGGACCACGGCTGCCCATAAACATAGGGTTTCCCAGAACCACAAGCTGTTGGCACACCCTCGGGGTTATCACAAGCCACCACGAGAAGTCACCAGGCCTAGGCGGGCCCTGTGCCTCCTAGTTCAACCTCCCTTGCACAACACTCATACACAAGGGCCCCCACACACTCAGCCTTCTAAGGTCGGTCATCCCTGGGAAAGCTGTGCACTCTGAGAGTCTGGCTTTCTTCCTCTTCTGCAGTTCAAGAGTTCAGGACTCCTGTGCTTCCCTTTTATCTGTATTTTGCCTTGGCTGCTGGGAAGCTCAGAGTGCAGTTAGCCTCCTTGGCTCTGGCTGGAGTCTCATGCCTCACTGGGTTTTTTTAGCCTCTAGGAATTCAGGGATTACCCTTGGCTTTCCAGCAGCACAGGGTTAGAGGGGGCTTAGATTATCATCACCTGGGGCTTTCACACAGCTACATGGAGTTTAACTAGGAAAAAAATAAAACCAAAAACCAACAGTAACCAAGTCTGCCCTCTAATCTACTGGCTGGCATTCACGGAATCCACCAACCTTTGGGTTGAAAATATGAAGAATAAACATGTCTGTAATGGTCATTTTTCTTGTCACTGTTCCCTAAACAACACAGGGTAACAACTATTTACCCAGCAGTTGCACAGTATTGGGGTTTGAGAGTTTAGAGACTGTAGGTTATATACAAATACACTACTACAGACCAGAGTCTTTGGTGAATATTGATGCAAAAATATTCAGTATAGAGCAAATCATCAGCCACTTACAGGTGGGATTAGACCTCAGCCTAGCAGGATTTACTCTATGAATGCAAGGATGGTTCAACATACAATAATCTGTTACTGTACTATTTTGCACTAACAGAATGCAGGGAGAAATAACACATGGTTGATTCAATGATGCACCAAAGGCTCTGGTCAGACTAGACAGCTTTGTGAGAGACATTCAACACGCATGGTGCAGAACACGGCTTCATCACAGACGTCAACCCAGAGTGACCCTGTGCTGGAGGGCCTCGGGTGACCCTAGCTGGAGGCCAAAGGTGGAAACACAGTGGTGGGAACACCGCCTCAGCACAGCAACACTCACAGCTGAAAAATCTAAGTTTCGGGGTATAAAAATCATGTGAAAACCACAGAATGTCCCTGAAAGCAAGGACAGATGACACAAGAGAAATGGAAAGACATCAGGTTCACTGATTGTAACCTAAGCTTGTTAAAATGGGACACCACCCACTGCCACCTACAGGCTCACCACCCACTGCCATCTACAGATTCACCACCCGCTGCCGTCACAGGCTCAGCAATCTCTACCAAGTCCTAACAAATCTTTTATACAAATGGAAAAACTCAGCCCCAAGTTCACAGGGATTTTTAAGGAGTCCTCAGCAGTCAAAACAACCTTGAAAAAGGAGACCACAACTAGAAGTCTCACACTTTCTGAACTTGATCTCAGCTCAAAGGTTAAGAATCCAGAAGTCTTACACTTTTAAAACATACTCCAAAGCTACACAAATTGATACAATCTGGCAATGGCACAAAACGTAAAGATGAACAAAACAAGAAGCCCAGAAATAATCCCTCATATATATGGCCCAGTGACTTTCAGCAAGGATGTCAGAGTTGGGGTGTGTAAAACTGGACATCCACAAGAAGAGAAAGAAGCCAGACTCTTGCTGTACAGAAACAGTAATGGAAATTCGATGAAAAGTTGGCTATAAGCAGAAAC